GTGGCTGGGCTTTGTACTACATCAGTTATTTCTAGTTCTGGACCACTCCGAGGGGAGTAGAAATGGAGAGCCACCTCCTCCTTTAGGGAGAACAATGACCCGGAGAACATGTGATTGAACAATGTTGGCTATCAGCGGTCCACACACACTAATTTGAGGATGGAGTTCATTATGGCAAAGGGCATCCATTATAAAGTCTACCCTGGGCACTATTCAGGTCCATGAATTTTTCTCATTAAACTCACTCCAACTGATTGGTTACAATTTCTACAGAAACTTACAAGAGGAGGGTTTGTGGGCAACGTCTCTGCTCTTCTGGCTGGCCTGTCTAGTGAAGGGACCAAATTCTAGTCCCTGAGAATTCTGAGCCCTCCATTCCTATGTTCTCAGCTGTTACTATGGCCACAGCTGTTGTACTTGCCCCATATCTTGGAAATAGAAATTTCCAGAATGCCCTCAGGACACCACATAAATGATAAATATTTTCCTCCTTGATGCCATTACTCTTTTCTTTGCTTGCTGATCACCTGGTACTAAAAGCTCAAAGTAATTAAGTGACAGCCATAGCTTTAATTCCAACCACACCTTTACTGTGCCTCGTTAGCGGTAACTCTTTTCTGTTAGACCTAAGGCGTTTAGATGCACAGAGCCTACAATTATGGTGGAGGGAGGCATAAATCCCCCCAAATGGATCACTGGGGGTGAATGAAGTAAATGGGGCAACTCCTATGGAGCAAAGTTCTGTGACAATATTCTCTAAGACAAGCTCCAACTTGAGAGAATAGACACTATTGAGCTTCTCAATATGCCTGTGTAGTGTACAGTGAGACGTCCTAGAGAACAGTCAGTGAGCTGGCTTTTCTGGCTTTATGACTAAATCTATTCTACCATATCCACTTCTCTGCACCTTTTGACCCCTTCCTCCTCATTTGTGTGTTATGTGGTACAAGATAAAGTAAATGGTCATAAGTACTAAAAGTTGATGAAGGTGAACGGTATGCAAGTAAAAGCATATTCCCTTTTATCAACAATTAACCTTATTGTATATTTTATTTTTATATATCTATAGGTGCACAGAAAGTTATAAAAGAGGACAGCAATGCCTGCACACCCTTCACCCAATCCCCCACACTGGTCACATTCTATTTACAGTATATATACAAACTTAGAAATTTACATTAGTGCAAAGATCTTGTTCAGAATTTACCACTTTTATAAGCGTGAGTGTACATGTGCATGCATTTGTGTATGTTTCTATGCAGTACAGTCATGTTTACTGTAATGATCTGTGTAACCACCATCACAATTAAGATACAGAACTGTCCTTCTCCATAAGGCTCCATCTTTGTAGCCATACCCACTCCCTCCCACACATCATCCGACACCCCTGCCTACCACTACTCTGTTCTCCATCTCTATAATTTTATTTCCAAGCATGTTCTACAAATGGAATCTTACACTGTGTAACCTCTGGTGATTGGCTTTTTATACTCAGCAGTCTTCCACTGAGATCATGCATGTTGTTCAGTGTATCAGTAGCTGTTCTATGTTATGGACACATATAGTTTGGTTTGTTCAACCATTCACCTATGAAGGATAACCTTAACTGTTTCAAGTTCATTCAATTATTCACTCATTTTTTCATTTTTGTGGAAAAATTGAATTGAGGCTTCCTACTTGCAGGCAAACACTATCATTTTTCGGTCACAAGACATATTATCTAATTTGAATACTGTTGGCTTTAGCAAGTTTGTATCTATTTTCTTTGTCTCCTGTTCCTTATGACTTTTAAAAGTTTTATCATAAGCCTATATCTATTTTCCTCTTGGAATAAAGGGTTCTAATAATTTAGTCTTTCTTACAAAACAATCAATCTTCTGAGAATTAAAATATCACTTTTTTTACAATCATCAATTTATGTCTCAATTTCTAAAAGGAAGAAAGGCTTTCCATCGGTAAATACTTGCTAGAAGAAAGAAATACAGGTTGTATTTGTCTCTGTAGCCTACTCAGTTATGTTCAAGATTTAGGAGACATAGTAAATTTGGCAGTGACCCAGAAATATAAATGTAGAGAAAAATAGTTTTCCCAGTGTTTTGTAGCACTTCCCTAAGTCATAACATCACAGCAGAATTATCTTTTTTTTTTTTTTTTTTTTTTTTTTTTTTTTAAGAATAGCTGGGTATTTTATTTTGGGTCCTTTCTGCATTGGATGAGCACAAAGGGACATTGACTATATGCTATTTTAAAAATTCTAGTTTTACTTAACTACTTCTGAGGACAATTATCAATTCTAAAATAAAATCATGGACATAGAAGTAAATGAAAAAAAAACAGTCAATAAAAGGGGATTGAATAATCATAAACTTATGGATTTGTAGAACTGAGAATCACATTAAAGACCCTCTAACCCAGGGATATTCACATCGTGGGGTGTGTCACCAAATAGACTCCAGAATAGATTAAAAGCCTATAGAAACTCAGTATAGACTAAAAATGTCTATACTATAATAATAAAAATTATGTAAGTCAGCTCATTAATTTCTGGACAAAGAAAGGAAAGAGTTAACACTTCATTTGGATGAAAAACTCAATATAAAAATTAAACTGTTAATGTACTAGAAGAAATCATGAGGAATTTTTAAACATACTTTTAAGCTTATCCTACGGAACACACACACACACACACACACACACACACACACACACACACCATGAAGAAAAATATATACTAAATTAATATAAATTATCTCTACTGAGTCATCAGTAGGATTCACTCATCAGAGCTCCTAGGGGACAACCTTTTCCTAAAACAAGAGGTCATATGGAATTCGAGTTTTATTTCAGGCTCCATGATGAGGCTCTCCAGGGCCTCTGCCCCCACAGCAACTTAATCTCGGTTCTTGTTCCCTCATCTTTCTGTGACAGGAGGAGAGGCTCAGGACTTTTCCAATAAAATGCTGCAGCTGGCTCACCAGCATTATGACAACGCAGGCTCAGCACACCAGGCACACCTCCCAGCCGAGGTCCCATCAGGAGCCCAGGTTGTTAGCACCCAGGGATGTCCACCTAAAAATCAGAGCCAGGGCAGAAGAAGAAACTGGCCAGAAAAAAAAAAAAATGAAGAGTTTGGTTTTATTCAACCTTGTGGTAGAGAGGGCTCCTCAAACCCATGTCATCGAATCTCCACCACCTGGTTCTTGATTCTTCCTCTGTAAAACCAGCTTAGAATTAAAGCTCTCCACTGACTATGCTTGGAGGCAGCCATTCCATAAACCATAGTCACCATGGTGACTCAAATTTGCTTCTATGAGACACCCACTTAGGCTGTATCAGTCTATTATAGGAATCTGGGGAAAGTCGATCTCTTACGTATAGCAACCATATGACCAGCTGATTGTTTTAAAAAATGAGGGGCACTGGCAGGTCATCTGTTAGCTCCTTTTATACAGTTTCCTCTTGAGTCAAGAAAAGTCAGGGAGGGAGTAGGACACTTAGTTTAAATCTGTTTGTTTTTGTATTATGTCCTACCAAATAGGTAATAGCTCCAACGTATAGTTTCTGGAAAGCCATTCCTGTCTTGGACTAGCTATCCTGAGAACACAGCCAAGGACATCTTAATTTGGTTGAGAGTCTTCTCATAAAATATGTAAATGAGAAATAAAATGAGAGTCTTTTCATCAAAAGATTTGGAGTCCATGATGTTGAGGACAATGGAATATGCTAAATGACAGAATCTGGTTCAGAAAGCCCTAGACATCCTTGCACAACACTATAAATCCCACAGGTCAGAGCCTTTCGGAAGTTTAGATGAGAAGTTATTAATGCACATAGCACATGAGTTGGGTAGTTCTAACTGTATTTAAAAATTTGGGCCCAACTAGTGTGGGTCAGTGGTTGAGAGTCACTGTTCAATTCCTGGTCAGGTTGCAGGCTTGGTGCAGGAGGCAGCTGATCAATGACTCTCTCTCATCTTTGATGTTTCTATCGCTCTCTCCCTCTCCTTTCCTTTCTGAATTAAAAATATTTTTTTAATTAGGAGAAGAACTGATTTGAACCTTCACACACCCTAACATTACATTTCCTCTCATCGCTTCTTCCCAAGGTGTACCATCATCAGTACACCTGTTATCATGTGGAAGAAGAGCTTCAGAACTGCTGGTCTATACTCTACCTACTGCAAATCTGTAAGAAAGATCGAAGCAGTTTGTAATGAAAAAGACAAGATGTGTACAAGATATTAATTTCCAGGATAAGCCACACGTACTGCTGACCACTGTTGCCACTAAACTCTGAATGCCAACACTGATACATTGATGAAAGTGTGTATTATTCAGCCTTAAATAAATTCTGCCAAGTGTGACAACATAAATGGACCTGAAAGATATTATGCTACATGAAGTTGGTCAGTCATGGAAGTACAAATACTGCATGTTCCACTCATTGAGATATTTAAAGTAGTCAAAATTCATAAAAGCTGAGAATAAAATGGTGAATTTTAGGAACCTGGGGAGGAGGAAGTGGGTTGTTATTGTTCAATGAGTACAGAGTTAAAGGTATACAAGATGAATGAATTTTAAAAATTTGCTATACAACAGTATGCCTATCGTTAACAATAATAGTATGATGCACTTAAGAAGGTAGACCTTATGCTAATGTTTGTAACACACACACACAAAAAAAAAAAAACAACAAAGGGACCAAAAAACTCTTTAGAGGTGAAGAATAGATTTTTACCTTAATTTTGGAAATGATATTATGGTGCATGCATAAGCCCAAACTCATCAGAAGTATACATTAGACATGCAATTTTTTGTATATTATATATACCTTAATAAAGCTGAAGACAAAGAAGAAACATCAAAATTACATGACTTAGTGTTTCCTCATACACCAGTTATTTGTTTCCCATCAAAAAGTCTAGAAAATGGGCCAAAATTAACAGGAGGGAAAGGAAAAACTCTAAGAGTCTCATTCTCATGCCAGCAATGCCATGATTCACATTCAACACCTCTCTGCCCACCTGACCCACAGGGAATGAGACATCACACTGAAATGCAGTGAACCCCCCAAGTCACCAAAAGGAATGTGGCTTATTATCACCCAAAGGGAGACATGTTGGGCTGTGCAACATGAGACACACATACATGGTCTATATGCATAAATCACGTAACAGCTTTCTTTAAGGAAGATGAAGCAAGAAAGACACATAAGAGATGATCCAGGAAGAGCTGAAGTGAGGAATGCTAACCCACCAGGAAAAGGAAACAACGTTTTCCATCCATCTTAAAAAGGGGAGCCAGGAAAACAAACCTGGCTAATTTCATAATCACCTGTTAATTAGGACAAACAAGGACAAGGAAGAGCACAGCTCCTGATGACAGCGCCCTTAGCAGGGTATAAAAGGGGACCTGGGGCAAGTGGACTTCCAAACCTTCCAACCCACCTTCCTGAAAACTCACTCCGAACCTCCACCCTCCAACACCATGGTCAACTCCTGTAGCTCCGTCTGCTCTGACCAGGGCTGTGGCCAAGGCTGCTGCCAGGAGACCTGCTGCCGCCCCAGCTGCTGCCAGACCACCTGCTGCCGCCCCACCTGCTGTGGCTCCTGCTGTGGCTCCAGCTGCTGCAGGCCTACCTGCTGCACCACTAGCTGCTGCCGCCCCACCTGCTGCGGCTCCAGCTGCTGCCGCCCCTGCTGTGTGTCTAGCTGCTGCCGCCCCTGCTGTGGCTCCAGCTGCTGTGGCTCCAGCTGCTGCAGGCCTACCTGCTGCATCACTAGCTGCTGCCGCCCCCCCTGCTGCGGCTCCAGCTGCTGCCGCCCCTGCTGTGTGTCTAGCTGCTGCCGCCCCTGCTGTGGCTCCTGCTGTGGCTCCAGCTGCTGTGGTTCCAGCTGCTGCAGGCCTACCTGCTGCATCACTAGCTGCTGCCGCCCCACCTGCTGTGGCTCCAGCTGCTGCCGCCCTACCTGCTGCCAGACCACCTGCTGCAAGACCACCTGCTGCCGCCCCTCTTGCTGTGGCTCCAGCTGCTGCCGCCCCTCCTGTGTTGTCTAGCTGCTGCCGCCCTACCTGCTGCCAGACCACCTGCTGCCATCCCACCTGCTCTAGCGGTTCCTGCTGGTGATCCTTGTAACCTGTGCCGACCTGTTTTTCATAAACCAGTCTACTCAATGTAGTTCAAATTGAGCTGAGTCATGAGAGTCCAATTGACAAAACTCGGTTTCAACTGATTCTTTAACTGATTGTGGCCTCCAAATATAATGCCCCCCTCTCTGCCCCCATATGTTACTCTCTCTCCCAAATGAATAGAAAGCTTCAATTTTCTCTGTAATTCTTCAATGTCTGTCATCCCCATTGATATATTTCTTCCTTACCACATTTTCTCATATGAAGATGTCCCCAAATCTTAAATAAATCTTAATTTCCCAAGCATACAAATACAAGAGTATTATGTCTCATTTTTCCTTTTTGAATCAGCATTCTTATCTGTCCACTCTTCTGTTGCTCTCCGCAGAAAGCAGTCTACAGCAGGTGATTTTAGAATTTCTAACTTTAGTCCCACATCATCCTCACTCTATTATAGGGAGATGGTTTCCTATAGCAACCAGCTGGAACTTCCTCAGTAGAGAACTTCCTGCATATGAAAGAGCCAGCTCTGGGCAGGCCAAAAGTCGGAGTTAATGTCTCTGGGAACATTGTTCAACCAGTGGACAGGAGTTTTTGGTCAATGCTATGACTTCTTTTTTTCTAGTAGGGGCATGCTGTTCCAGTTTCCAGAGGTTCTCGGTGGAATTGCACCCTATTTGTCTATATAGGAATCATCTTTTCATTAAATCATTTATATTGTGGGTCAAGCATCCAGACGCAGCTCAGCTGACCTCTCCACTTCATCTACTTTCACAACTCTGTAGTCGAGGTGATAGCTGGCACTGGGGTCCCATCTAAAGTCTTGACTGAGCCAAAACCAGTTTGGCTCAGTGGATAGAGCATCGGCCTACGGACTGAAAGGTCCCAGGTTCAATTCCGGTCAAGGGCACGTATCTTAGTTGTGGGCACATCCCCAGTAGGGGGTGTGCAAGAGGCAAATGATTCGTGTTTCTTGCTCATCAATGTTTCTAACTCTCTATCCCTCTCTCTTCCTCTCTTTAAAAAATCAATAAAATATATTAAAATAAATAAAGTCTTGACAGAGCAGGAATCCAGTTCAAGTTCACTTATGTGGTTGGTGACAGGATTCAGTTCCTTGAGACCCATTAGAGTCAGAGCCTCAGTTCCCTCTGATTGTCAGCAGAGACTGCTCTCAGTGCTTTGCCACATACTTCTCTCAGACCACTTACTTCCTTCAGACCCAGTAAGGAAGAGAAATCTGGCTAGTCACCATCTTTTGTAACTAAGTCACTTGATGTTGATTAGAAGCAATTTTCTCACAAGAATGGAAATATGTAAGACCATGAACACCAAGAGGTAGAAATCACTGGGTCACCTAAGGGGCTGCCTACCACAACTCTTACATAATATTGAGTGAGAGAATAAAAACACACAATACATAGATGAAGATTCCACTTACATAAAATTCAAAAACATGTAAAACTAAACTATAGTTATTAGGATGCATACCTAGGTGGTAAAACTGTAAAGCACATCAGTGAAAGGATTACTTTAAGAATCAGAACAGTAATAATCAGGGGGGAAGGAGAGTGATGTGGTAAAGAAAAGACACATTCAGGGCCTTGGACAGCAATGTCCTATTTCTTGACTTGGGTGTGGGGATAGATAGATGCTTGCTTCATAATTATTTATTACTAGAGGCCCGGTGCATGAAATTCATGAAGGGGAGGGGGGTCCCTCAGCCCAGCCTGCACCCTCTCCAACCCTGGACCCCTCAGAACTGCTGGCTCCTAACCGCTCACCTGATTGCCAGCCTGATCCCCTAACTGCTCTCCCCTGCCTGCCTGATCCCCCTAACTGCTCTCCCCTGCCTGCCTGATTGCCTCTAACTGCCTCTGCCTCAGCCCCGCCACCGTACTTTGTCTGGAAGGTCTTCTGGAAGATGTTCAGTCTAATTCGCATATTACCCTATTATTAGTATAGATATTACACATGTATGTCTTATACACTTTTCAGTATATAGTAGTCTCCCCCCTTAAATCTGAGGTTTTGTTTTCAGTAGTTTTAGCAACCCACAGTCGCCCATGGTCTGAAAATAGTAAATGGAAAATTCAAAAAATAACTCATAGTTTTAAGTTGCATGCCATTCTGGGTAGCAGGTGAAGTCTTGTGCTGTCCTGTTCCATCCCACCTAGGTTGTGAATCTTCCCTCTGTCCAGTGAATCCATACTGTATATGCTACCCATTTTGTAGCTGTCTCAATAATTAGATCAACTCTCTTGGTGTTGCAGTGCTTGTGTTCCTTATTTACTGCTGCTTGTCATCCTGACCTGTACTCCAAGTGTAAGAACAGTGATTCTGGTAATTCAAACATGCCAAAGAAAAGCCCTAAAGTGCTCCTTTTAAGAGAAAGTTCTTAATAAGAAAATATTTTTAAAGCATATGCTGAGGCTGCTAATTTCTACAGTAAGAATAGATCTTCTGCCCTAGCTAGTTTGCTCAATGGATAGAGCACTGGCCTGCTGACTGAAGGGTCCCAGGTTCAATTCTGGTCAAGGGCACCTTTCTATCTAGGGCACAAGCCCAGGTTGTGAGCTCAATCCCCAGTAGGGGGCATACCGGAGGAAGCTTATCAATAATTCTCTCTCTCCCCCACCCCCTTCCTCTCTGAAATCCATAAAAATATACACTGAGTGGCCAGATTATTATGAGCTCTGAACTCATAATAATCTGGCCACTCAGTGTATTTGTATCTCAAATGGGTACCAAAAATATTCTAGACTTACCTATTTGCCCTGAGCTTTTTATCAGCCAGTGCAAAGGGGAAAACTGATCAGGTGCACGATTTATAGTATCTTTGATATCAAATAAATTATGTACTCAAGAGAAGTACACTGAGTGGCCAGATTATTATGCATTCAAAGATCATAATAATCTGGCCACTCAGTGTATATACTGTATATTGTTTAAAAAAAAAAAAAAAGAATGGATTTTCTATCCACAAATTTTGTTGAAGGAAAAATTTGTAGAGAGACCACATTTCACATAACTTTTATTACAGTATAGTCTTATAACTGTTCTATTTTATTACTAGTTATGTTTGTTCATCTCCTACTCTGCCTAATATACATGTAAATTAAACTTTAATAAATAGACCAACTGGAGAGAGATGCTGCAAACATATCTGCCAGCAAAGTAACAACGTAATAAACTGTGGGATGTTGTAGTAACCAGAGCCATGTAGATAAATTGTCCGCCATGGTTTAGGGTACAGAACATGACCCAAAGTTTGAAACATCTAAGGAAACCCATTCCTGTGACATAGAAGCCACCAACATCACACGCATACCGAGGTCCCCTTCCTCATTGCTCACAAATGACCCACAGAGGTCATTTTTCTCTTGTCCCATGCCCGATGCCACACTTTGCTGATGGAATTTTCTCCACATGAGTCACTGGAAGAAATGCACAACCAGGAATACGTCTGCCCAGATCCCATCCTGAGGGGATACAGAGGGCGAGTAAGGAATGTCACCCCAAATGCAAAATGGAGGAGGAGAGTGTGGTCTAGAACATGCCCACAGGTCTGACTCAGAGGAAAAGCAAATCAGACAGAATTTAGCATATCTGGAAAAGAAAATGTTGTTTCCAATAAGTTTAAACCATTAAGAAGATAAACATTATGTGTAATAAGATAATTACTCAAACATAAGGTAAATAAAAACAAGGAAGCATGTGGACAGCTCACCCTGTCCAGACAGTATATAAGAGGCCTTGCCACCAAGAGACCCCCAAACTCAAGAACCTCACTCTCCTGGAAACCCACCCAGAACCTCCACCCTCTGACACCATGTCCTGTTGTGGCTCCAGCTGCTGTGGCTCTTGCTGCTGCCGCCCCAGCTGCTGCATCTCCAGCTGCTGCCGCCCCACCTGCTGCATCTCCAGCTGCTGCCGCCCCTCTTGCTGTGGCTCCAGCTGCTGCGGCTCCAGCTGCTGCCGGCCCTGCTGCTGCCCCTGCTGCTGCCTCCGCCCAGTCTGTGGCCAGGTCTCCTGCCACACCAACTGCTATCGCCCCACCTGCGTCATCTCCACCTGCCCCCGCCCCATGTGCTGTGCCGTCTGTGACTGCTGAATCTCTGCCTGTAATCTGTCACACACTGGATGTCCTCACAAGTCACCTAAAATGTGTTGAGCCAGCCAGTGACTGGGGAATGAACTCTTAGCTGCCAATTCTTCTGATTTGGCATACAGAGTTGGTGTTCAACTCCAGAAAATGATAAATGAAAGCACATTTGTCAAATGGTTTAAACCGGATGCATCTATGTTTGAACCGACACTGTCTCACCCGAAGTATATAGTGTATGTGATGATCTCATATAACATTGTCTCCATATGTTCTTAATAAACAGCCATTTCCCCTGATATCAAAATCTGCTGATTTGTTAATTTGATGTGTGCGTGCATGTGTGTGTACATGTGTGTCTTTATGACTTCACACTAAGAAATGTTGCATGAAATGCAGGACAGTAAGTTTGGAAACAGATACTTATCTTGGAATCAAAATTCCACTGGGTATTCCTTGCATGACACAGGCAAAGTTATTTAATATCTTTAGGCCTTGGTTTTTTTCCTCTGTGAAATGGGGATAATTCATTATGCTCTTCAAAGGTTCAAAGACATAATCCATGTAATAAATACACTTAGCACAGAGGTGAGGAGCATGATGTAAGCTCTCAGTAAATGCCATTTTTATTGTTACTATTACTGAAACACTACCCTGGTTGAGAAAAGTACCTTAGAATCATGTTCTCTTTGACAGAACAACAAAGACAGTTTGTATAATGGTTTCACTGTCCTCTAGAACTTTAAGTATTGGCATATGTCTCAAATGTCCCTTAAAAACTCCACTGAGTTGACCATCATACAGAAATCTAAATCTCACTGTACTTGAGTACGTCCCATTACGGTTGTGTTAATACATTTGGGTGTTTTAGTTAGCTGGAGTACTTCTTCCTCCCTCCCTCTGCCCCTTCCTCCTTTTCTCTCTAAATAATAAACTTCATCTCAGAATACTAAGTGTACCTTCTAAATACAGATTTCTGAAAATGTATTAAAGTCCATAGCAACTTCTCCATAAAAAATTTTAAAACTTTTGAAAAGATGTTTTTATTGAGATTTATTTATTTATTTGTTTATTTATTTATTTTAGAGAGAGAGCTAGAAAACATCAATTGGGAGAGAATCATCGATCAGCTGCCTCCTGCATGGCCCTACTGGGGATCGAGCCCACAACCTGGGCACCCTGACTGGGAATTGAATCCCAGTGACCTCTTGATTCAGGGGTCGATGCTCAACCACTGAACCACACAGGCTGGGCTTTTAAAACTGTTTATTAATATATGTTCAAGCCCAGCTGAAGTGGTTCAGTTGGTTGAGCCACTGTCCCATACACCAAAGGGTTGCCTGTTCATTTCCCAGTCAGGGCACATACCTGGGTTTCAGGTTTGATGGGGAGTATATGGGAAGGTAGTCTACTGATGTTTCTCTCTCATATCTATGTTTGTTTCTCTCTCTCTCACTCTCGCTTGCTCCATTCCTTTCTCTAAGCATGTCCTAAAATTTTAGTATTTCAAAATGAAAACTCCTTCATAATTTTAGCCTCTCATGTTATTGAAGTTTCCTATCTTCCTGATGGTTTTACTCTCCTGACTTAGGCTTCTGTCACCTTGTTTGATATTACATAAGAGCACATGTGCAGGATATTTCCTTGAGACTCAGTTTCTTATCACCAAAACTTAGGTGAAAATGATCCTCCTTAGCTGTGAAAACATCTCACAATATATACAATAATATCATTTTTATCCTATATAATGAAGAGCTAATACGTCAATTAGACCAAAAAGCAGAACGGCCGTCCAGGCCTCTAGTACTAATATAAGGATCTATAACTTTTGGTTTATAATCTGAAGTACATTAAAGTCATTTTAAATTCAAAATTAGTATATATCAGAATTTTATATATTAGCTGGGTTATATTTCCAAAAAACAAATGTAATTAAGAGTTGATGTTATTTCTAAAAATTTTTTTGGAAGTTCTAAGGTGTCAAGAAACACACCATCTAGAGGTTGATATAATATGGGCTTCACCCCAACATAAGTTGGGTGTTAGGGTCTTAGTGAGAGTGTTAGCTTGACACGCAGGCAGACAGGGCAGGGGTCCAGAGGGAAACAAAGGCAGGCGGAACATAGGCAGGGGAAGACACGGCAGTTTGAGCAAAGCCTAATCACAGGAACCAACTATGCAGAAACAATAAAATGTTTCTGGACTCAAAGCGGGAGACGTGTGAAACTAGGGAGGGTCTGCAGCAATAAGGTGAACTGATGCATAGAAACAGGGAAAGTTCAGGTCCGTTGCTGGGCAAGAACATCTGAGGGAATCATTCAGGTGGTGACACAGGTAGATATAGAGCAGGCCTGTAGCCATATATACGCCTAGATCACAAAGCTTCATGCAACCCCTTATTGGACCCTCTCCCTGTGCAGGAAGTCTGAATCTGCTTATAATAAATTTCCCACACTTTTGCTTAAATCTTCTGGTCTGTGATTTAATTTGGCTTCATAAGACATGACCCCGGGGTAAAAACCTTGGCTCGCCATCCCAGTTATCAGTATGACTATGGAATGAAGCCTCCAGAAAAACCCAGAAGAATGGTGTTCAGACAGCATCTGGTTGGTGGACATTTAGAGCACCACTTATTTATCCTTTAAATTTTTAATTGTTGGCTTTTAGGAGGCATGGTCATGAATTATTCACATAGGTAGTTATAAAATATATAAACAAATAGTTAAGGTATCTTTTATAACTTTTCTGAAAAACCCTCCTTATATCTCCATTTTCATTTTGGCCCAATTCTCTTCTGATTCTTCCTTTGAAATAACTATTATACTCACTTTATCACCTGATGCTGTGAACACACTTCCCACCCTGCCCCACTTAAACCTTTTAAGCAACATCTCTCCCCGGAAATCCAAGTGTATTTTGGCATTTCTAAAGGCAGATCAAAAATTAAAATAAATCATATATAATAAATATATTACATTACTTCTTGCCTAAATGCTTTTAATAGATCCTCACCATTTATTATGGAATTCAAGGCTACACACGATCCTTCCCACATTCTAGCAACCTCACAATATCTCTCACTATTTATTAAAATAGACCTTCCAGATATATCCCTCTTATCATCACGAGCCAGGGTTATGCCTACTCTCATTTGTTTGTTCTCTTTAATTCTTTTTTTGTCTATATGTGTGAATAAGGTTCTCAACATTAGTAAGTCATTTTTTATGACCTAGACAAACTCTTCACTTACTAAGAAATGTGCTCTATTTCAAGCCTGGGGGATAAAAAGATGGGTAAAATACTGCCCTAATGGAGTTGACATTCTAGAGAGAGCTAGCTATATACATACATTTCTGGTGGAGAATGCTGTAGGACCCATACATACACAAAGCACAACAGAAGGTCAATGGAGAAAGAATTTTGCTTTGCATGGGCCAAGAAAGACCATGGGGGAAGATGGCATTTGAACTTCCTGATAAAAGGTAACTAGGAGAATGCTGAACTCACGAGAGACTTTGCAGGAAGAGGGAATATCATGAGGGTAATTTGTTCTTTCCTCAAATTAGTTTTTTCCTGAATGCCTGTGACACTGAAGAAGACCTCTTATTATGACTATAACTATATAGGCATTAATTACAAAACCATATGGATGCAATTTCTGTGTACATGCATGTTTGATGATGAATATGGCATTTCTATCCCTCTTAGTTCATCTAAGAAAATCTTAAATATAAGTGATATTACAAAAACTACTAGATCTTTTAGCTCAGAATGTTTAAAAAAGATTTTAAGAAAATGTCCATAAAGTATAACCATGACATATCTTGATAAATTGAAAGGCCGATAAAAAATTTTGATCCAATTACTCTTCCCGACCTGAGAAGAGATTTATAAAGATCAAAAGTGATCATCCCAGATGACTCTTAGCTATTTAAAAACACTGAGTCACTGCTAACTGTTTCAAAGTGCATCAGGGTGATGAAACATAACACAGCTTGGAATGTGCTAGTAATTTCATTAGCTCAATGGACACCCAGAAAACGCAATGAATCATAAGTTTCCTTCTTTCTAAGAAATGAGCTGATTTCCTTCTTTCCTATCAACATTCCATCTGATGGAAACATAAAAATTTCCACCAGAAAACCTAGCCCCATCAGAAGCGCTCCCAAAATTATGTCAAGGTGAGGACCAGACAAGAGATAGTGGCCTGCCTGTGTCACATGACACCAGGGAGTGAAATCTTATAGCACTGCAAACAAGGGAAAAACACAAAAGGTGATTCATGTGGGAACACTGGGGAACTTGATAAAAGGGAAATGTCTGTGTTCTATATAATGAAAGTTTTTATTAGAAAAAAAATGCAATGATATTATTTACTAAATGCATTTTTAGTCATATAAACAAAAATAAGGAAATAGTATTTTCATAATCATAGAAGTCCCTCAGTTGGGTATAAAAGGGGACATGTGGTAAGAAGACATCCAAAGTCAAGAACCACACTCTCCTGAAAACCCACCCAGAACCTCCACCCTCCGACACCATGGTCAACTCCTGTTGTGGCTCCGTCTGCTCTGATCAGGGCTGTGGCCAAGGCTGCTGCCAGACCACCTGCTGCCGCCCCAGCTGCTGCCAGACCACCTGCTGCCGCCCCACCTGCTGTGGCTCCTGCTGTGGCTCCAGCTGCTGCAGGCCCTGCTGCTGCCCCTGCTGCTGCCTCCGCCCAGTCTGTGGCCAGGTCTCCTGCCACACCAACTGCTATCGCCCCACCTGTGTCATCTCCACCTGCCCCCGCCCCATGTGCTGTGCCGTCTGTGACTGCTGAGCACCATCCTGCACCCACTCTCTCTCCTGCACCTTGCTCATCACAGAAGCAGACCCTGTGCACCTCAAAGATGCCGTAGGATTGCCAATTCCCCTCAACTCTGTGTCCATGTCCTGGCCTCAGGCCAAACTTTCTCTTTAGTTGACTTTTCTCTGGTGTGGATCCAGAGGATGAAATAAGGTGGCATTTATAAGAAGCAATTATTAGATTTATGCATATTCTGTATCTGATTTTTTTATTTCTGGATTCCAGGTCATCCTGTCCAAAATATGGAAATTCCTGTAGGGCCACTGATGTCACAGCCTCAGATAGGAAAACATTAAAGGGCCCTATCTTATATTTCCTTTAAGAGGGATGCTTCAGTATCTTATTGTTGCTTCTAAATAAAGCTCTATTTTCTTGGCTTAGAAATACATTGTTCTTGTGTTTCTTACTTTGTGATGATTGTCCTCATTTCCAGGGAAATTATATCCAACACACAATTGAATCAGGTTTTGTAATTCTTGTTCTCACCTTCAGGAAAACCCTAACATGTATTAACATTAAAAGCAAACAAACAAGCCCAGAAATAATAACAATACATAGATGACTCCAAAAGCATTAAAGAATATTGAAGAGTTTTATTTAAACTGTGTGGGATTATATCCCATAGCAAACCTTTCTTAAATGTTAAGAGCATATCTTTCCACTCCTCTCTTAGTTACCTTCATTCTCCTTCCCTCTTTCTCTCTCCTTCTTCCTTCCTCTCCCCATATCCATCATTTTATCTCTGTCTCTTTTTCTTGGAAAACTAGAGAGTCCTCCTCAAGGTTTATACATCCCTCATGCAACCCAATTTATTAAACTCTCAGCTTCTCTAATGTCAGCTCCATCCATTGACAACAAAATAGTTCTCTTTTGGGAGAAAGTTTACTGCATTGGTTAGAAATATAAGAAAGGGATCTTGGACTAGAGACTCCTACAAAGTAAAATGTGTCAAATACTTTATTTCCCCCAAAAGATACAGAGTACTTATTTTTAATACACTAATACTGCAGAAAAAAAATATTTTCAACTCCAATCCCCTTTGATATTTTTTACTTTTCATTTTTGAACATTTTCAAATACACAGAACTGTGCCAAATAACTCCTTTATACCATTAGCCTTTACCCTGATTCAACTTTTTTGCCACATTTTGTTTCTCTCCAATAGAGAAATATGAGTAGGCAGGTAAGTAGATAGATAATGATCTGCTTTAGATACAGATAGATTTATGTCCTAAGACTAAGAACATTTTTTTTGCATAACCACAGTTTACATTACTATTACCTAACATACATCTAACATGTAAGTGACACTGTCATTTGTGCCCTTGATCCCATGGTGAAGGTTATGCTCTCAAGTTTCTCTACAGCACAGTTAGTATGTCTTCCTTTGAAATGAATAAATAATCGACGGAGAACTAGTTTGAAAGTGTGCAAATAGCCTATTATATGTCCAACTTTAACCCAACAGTTATAGCATCCACTGATAATATTTACTTGAATCAAGCTTTATTATGAGGGTTGTAAGTGATGATTTGGTAACTCTATTTTTATTCTTCTACATTTATTAATTGATATTATACTGTCATAGATAATTGTCTCATATTCCTTTCAAAATATTTTTTTATTTAATTAGTCGCACTATGGAGTCATGGATTTTTATTTTATTTAATGAGTTAAAATCCATTACTGCTATTATTCATGTTGGTGCTTACGCTGCTCCATATTGAGTGAGAGTATCTTTTAATATTTAAAAACAATTGAGTCATTGGCAACGGTTTCCAATTGAATGCAGGAAGTAGTACTCAGTACATATTTGGGGGCAGCCAGAGAGTCCACTATCTAATGAGCATCCGTGTCTCACAGACAGGCTGTCTTCCTCATTGCACACAGGTGACTCACAAAGGAGAGCCTTTTTCTTTCTAGTCCCTCTCTTCTAACATCAAAGAGATCTCAGCATCATGGGAATAACTGATCCAAATGGCATCATGGGATGATATACAGATCACAGGTGACTGAATCATGTGATGGCCCTTCTTGACCAAGAAGAAAGTAGGAAAGATGATTCTGAGAAAGGCCAGATTGGAAACTCTTAACACATCACAAAAGAGAAATCGTCTTTTTCTTCATCTTAAAAATCTTTAACCAGAAAAACATGATGCTCTAATTTTAGAGTAATATTTATTTAAAAAAATAAACTAGAAAATGGTCCAGGACCTGGACACAGTTCCTCGCACAGTATGAAAGAGAACATACAGCAGAGTGACTTCTAAATTCTCTGTTCACTCTCCTACCAACATCAAAACTCCATCCTCGGTCACCCATGGTCAGCTCCTGTGTGGCTCTGGCTTCTCAGACCAGGGCTGTGGCCAAGGCCGCTGCCAGACCACCTGCTGCAGGACCACCTGCTGCCCTCCCAGCTGCCGCCCCTCCTGCTGTGGCTCCAGCTGCTGTCCCCCCTGCTGCTGCCTCCACCTAGTCTGTGGCCAGGTCTCCTGTTGCACCACTTGCCATTGCCCCACCTGTGTCATCTGTACCTGTCCCCACCGCACCCCCAAGCTGTGCCTCCTCTTGCTGTTGAGCCTCCTGCTCTGTAACCACCATCTCCATTTACCTCTGTCCTCACAGATGCAGACCCTCCTTTTGTGTGGACCATTGGGGCACATGGAGTGGGGCTGATGTCACTCAACTAAACTGGGCCTCATAATTCCAATGAGGCAGCAAGTCCTGGGACTGAAGATGGGTGTGGCCTGGAGCTGCTCCCTACTGTCAAATCTTCCTGAGAAAAGTGGAAGTGTGCCTGTTTTTACTTAGTCTCACTATCAGAGAATGTTGACAAATTTTGAATTTTTTACAATCTAACATGTGAGAGGTGGTCTGCCATATTTTCAAACTGTTTCAAATCAAATAGATTCAATAAGAAAAAATAGATAGGAACTTTGTTTCGATCCTTCATACCTGACAATCCAAGAAATCCAAAGGAATCAGGGTATACTTAATTGCACACAAATAACTGCCCCCACCCCTTTTCAAGATGGGTCTTCTACCCTATTTTACTACCAGTACATGATGATATGATTTACTCTTTGACAGCAGAGATCTAACATCATAAACCCATTCTCAATATATTATTCTGGAGTCAAATGGAGCAATGAAAAATTAACCCTTGCAAAATCCAATGAAGCGGTGTCAGGTAATGGGTCTACTTGAGAAAACACATGGGACAGAGAAATATGGGCGCTGATTCACCTGGCATTTACCAAACTGGACAGCTCATTACACCGCAGGAGAAGGAAATGATGCTGTTCCTAAAATAGAAACATTTATCAGGTAAACACAATTATCCAATTTCCTAAAACGAACTGATTTTCAGCCAGGACAAACAACAACAAGAAGGGTCCTGCACATGGGCACCGCAGCCCTCAGCAGGGTATAAAAGCAACAGAGGGCAAGGAGAGAGCTCACTCGAGAATCTCACTCTCCTGGAAACTCACCCAGAACCTCCACCCTCCGACACCATGTCCTGTTGTGGCTCCGTCTGCTCTAACCAGGGCTGTGGCTCCTGCTGCTGCCGCCCCACCTGCTGCATCTCTAGCTGCTGCCGCCCCTCTTGCTGTGGCTCTTGCTGCTGCCGCCCCTGCTGCAGACCTATCTGCTGCATTTCTAGCTGCTGCCGCCCCTCTTGCTGTGGTTCTTGCTGTGGCTCCAGCTGCTGCCGGCCCTGCTGCTGCCGGCCCTGCTGCTGCCCCTGCTGCTGCCTCCGCCCAGTCTGTGGCCAGGTCTCCTGCCACACCAACTGCTATCGCCCCACCTGTGTCATCTCCACCTGCCCCCGCCCCATGTGCTGTGCCGTCTGTGACTGCTGAATCTCTGCTTTGAACACATCACTTCCTTTTTGACTTCCTCCCCAAAGATGCAGACCCTGCTTTTCAAAACATGTATAACTGATCTCTTGGGTCCCATAGCAAACTCCAGCCCTACTAATTCTCTGCTTACATCCCAACTTCTGTCCAAACTCCCTTCCTTCATTCAGAACCTCCTAATGAATTAAGTTCTCCCAACATCTCTCCCTTTGTCTCCAAGACATCCATACTTCATGCTTAAGGATTGTGAAGATTGTCTCCATCACTTGTGGGGCCATAGATTCTAAGTCTTCTGACATGGAAGTCCAATGAAGCCTTTTTCTTGTACTCCTTTGCAAAGATTTTTCTTATACCGAAATAAACCTCTTTGTTCTGGGCACTGAAAATTAAATGTGATTGTAGTCTCCTTTTTAAAAAGTTTTATATGTGGGTCCTGGGTAATTGTATTTTGCCTGTACCTGTTGGACAGACAGCAGAGACTATTCAACTTCCAACAGAGGTCAAATGTCATTGGTCACCAGTTTTCTCTAGAGACCTTTTTAATCTTAGGCAAATCAACTAATCATTTGCTAGTGTTTTTGAGTAGAAAATGCAACTAAAGTCATGGTGCACCCATGACTTTAATGAGAAAGGTTTACAAAAATTGAACATAAAATGTGATCTTTTAAAACACCATCTTTTGGGGTTCTTTATTCACCAATAATATGCAACTAATAAATACATACATAAATAAATAGATGTGATTTTCCTCGAGTGTAACTATGATCCCTTTGGAATGTTTCTCCCTCTTTTCTCCATTAGTCAAAAGTTACTATTTTAAAAGGACCACTACATGCTCCTATGCCATCAAAAGCCTTCGTTTACTCAACAGACATTGGTCACTAGTGTCCTCTGCCCCAGGATGGGACAAAGTAAATGTCATAGCTCATAGCCTCAGGGCATCCGCATTGCAACTGGGGGAGAGACAGAAGCAAGCATCTGATACAGAGAGTTAGGGGCACAATGCAGGGGACAATCACACATGCATGGGGCAGATTTTCAGAGAGGGTATCATTGAGAAGGAGGCACTGTCAGCTGGGTTTTTGACTGATGAATGGGAATCAGCAGAGTTGACAAGAAAGAAGAAACATTCTGGGAGGATGAGACTGCTTCAGCAAAGGCTTGGAAGTGTTACTCTTGGCTGCTCTGAGATTAAGACAAGCTTACTTTCTGTTTAACCTTACAGAAGTTTTGTGGGGTTGTTTTTTTTGTTGTTGTTGTTTTGTTTTGTTTTCAGTTGATCTCAGAAAGGGAAAAGAGGAGAGAAATAGAAACATCAGTATGAGAGAGTATCATGCCCCCCTCTGGGAATTGAGCTTGCAATCCTGGCATATACTCTGGCCATATACACATATCCCCAACTGGGTATGTGCCCACAATCAAGGTACATGCCCCTGACCGCAATGGAACCTGGGACCCTTGACTCCGCAGGCCGATGCTCTATCCACTGAGCCAAACCGGTCAGGGGATGTACCTTGATTGTCTTATTCTTACACAGGAAAGATTATGAGGGGTTTTCATCATGCCCCCATAATACCCAACAGAATGTCTTGGATATGTGTGTGTGTGTGTTCCATGCTGTTGAGTTAGCTCTGACCCCTGGCGACCCTGTGAATGAGTGATGTCCACAGTGTCCTGTCCTCAATAGGCCTACTCAGCTCCTATAGACTCATTCCTATGGTTTATTTATTTATTTATTTATTTATTTTTATTGATTATGATATCACAATTGTCCTCATCCTCCCATTCCCACCCCAGACCCTATGGAGTCAATCCACCTCATATTTTCTTCCTCTTTCCCTGATGCCTTCTATTTCCCTCTGCATTACTGCCTTTTCCAAAGAAGCCTGCCTTCTCTTGATGTGCCCAAAGTAAGACAGCCTCAGTTTTGTCATGGAAGCATGGTACGGAAGGCCTAATAATTATAAATATTGTTTATATCACAAATGCTTCTGTAATAAAATATCCACTTTGAAGGTTTAACAATCAAAAGATAAATTAAAAATTTCCTACCATTACTGTCCTATTGTGAAAAATATACAACAGATCCAGTGCTAAGAATGTCAGCTTGAAACAGTGAAATAAAATCTGACACGGAATTCGAAACTTCCTTGGTGTCCAGCTATTTTCCCTGACTCTTTAAGATGCCCACACAGATCAGTTATCCTCCTTATTGATTTTTCTTATTCCCCTGACCAGCACACGTTCCTCTCATCTTTGCTGACAAAAGATAGATCAGCATTATAAGAACCATTCTCCATGATTTTTACGGAGCAGTGTACAGATAGGAGGAAATGTCCCATTCAAAAACAAAATGTCAGAGTCATGTGACAAGTGCCTTGTAAAAGTCACTGCATCTGTCAGAAACAAAGGTGACACCCATTAAGAAAAGTATGTGACAAGTCTTTTAATTGGAACACAGAAACTTACCAGAAAAGGGAAATGTGCTATTTCTTCCCATTTTTGGAGTACTTCACTAGAAACATACAATTATGAAATTAAATAATTAAGCTCTCTCGTGGGGTAAATAACAATAAGGAAATAATGTCATAGGGAGAGCAGCTCTTCAACAGGGTATAAAAGGAGGTATGGGCAAGGAGACCCCCAAACACAAGAACCTCACTCTCCTGGAAACTCACCCAGAACCTCCACCCTCTGACACCATGTCCTGTTGTGGCTCCGTCTGCTCTGACCAGGGCTGTGGCCAAGGCTGCTGCCAAACCACCTGCTGCCGCCCCAGCTGCTGCCAGACCACCTGCTGCCGCCCCAGCTGCTGCCAGACCACCTGCTGCCGCCCCAGCTGCTGCCAGACCACCTGCTGCCGCCCCAGCTGCTGCCAAACCACCTGCTGCCGCCCCACCTGCTGTGGCTCCTGCTGTGGCTCCAGCTGCTGCAGGCCTACCTGCTGCATCTCCAGCTGCTGCCGCCCCTCTTGCTGTGGCTCCAGCTGCTGCGGCTCCAGCTGCTGCCGGCCCTGCTGCTGCCCCTGCTGCTGCTTCCGCCCAGTCTGTGGCCAGGTCTCCTGCCACACCAACTGCTATCGCCCCACCTGTGTCATCTCCACCTGCCCCCGCCCCATGTGCTGTGCCGTCTGTGACTGCTGAGCCCCCTTCTCTGTAACCGTCATCCCTATTTACTTCTGTCTGCACAGATGTACACACTTCTTGTGATGGCCCTGAGGACACATGGGATCTGGCTCAGGTCATCTTCTGGGCTTCATGATTCCAATGAGCTCACCACCGTCCCATTGGCTCTGTGAGCACATTCTGGTTCATTTAAAACTCCCTTGCTATCTTTTCCTTTTGATACGGACCAACTCTGTAATAATTCGTAATCCACCAGATAAGAAATTATCCCAATCCTCTAAATTTCTCATTCTTCCTTATCTTCCTTGGGGGGCTCTAGATTATCCTTCCAGCAAGGTGGACCTTATCTACAGCCCTTGAGTGACACCGATTTGACACTCTCAGACCTGGGCTCCATTTATACACTGTATATTCTCCTAGGGGGAATTTCTCATGTTTTGTTGTTTCTCTGTATTCTAATAAACTTTTTTATTCACATAAGAATTCATTGGCATTGTTCTCTATTGTTTTTATGATCATTTTACTCAGTAACTAGGCAGATATGGAAAGAATAACACATGTTGAAAAATCGCTTTGAAGTTTCAAGGCTTCTTGAGGCTTCAATTTCAGAACTTACACAACTCATCCACCATGTTCTATTGGTCAAAATAGGTCATTAGGCCAAACCAGAAGCAAAGAATAGAGAAGTAGAATCTATCTCTTGATGGGAAGAGCTATAAGACACTGCTGGCCCATGTGGGGAAGTTCTGTCAAGCCAATGTCAGTCTTGAGGATCCCTTTCTTCTCTGAATACTAAGTAAAAGAATACATTCATCTGAATACTAAGTAAAAGCGTTTATGCAGATATGTTCGATCCTAACGTGTATGCATTACAATCAGCAAATTTTAGCTACAATTATTGACAGAGATGGGGCTACAGGTAATGACAACTCTTTATATGTAAGACAAAAAAAAACGAGAACTTCCAGATTGCAAAATGACCCCAGCTGACATCAGTTGCTCCTGGGTTGGGAGAATTTCTTATCAACTCATTGTAATGACAGCTATGGCATAGCCCTTACACACCCGAGATATGATATGGTAAAAAAAAAAAAAAAAAAAAAAAAGGCAAAAAGTATTTTTTAAAATAAAAGAAAAATGTCAAGAGGCATATAGTATAATATTTTTGCTTCCTTTTAATCAACAAATTAAGACTAGTGAAACTTTAAAGTCTTTTGATTTAATCAAATATTTAATTAGATTTTTAGTATCTAACTCGATTGTTAAGATGACTGATAAGGTCCCTGGAATATAATCATAACTTGAAGTTCTTACATAGTGGGAAGAAAAATGGAAGTTGATAACCAATATCAGCAAACAAAGCATTACTGCACTTAAAGGGAAATGGGTGTAAGCTTCCAGTAAAGAGCCTCGTTAAAAAAATAAAAGAAAATTCCTTGTAAAACTATGGTATATTATAACAGTTCAAAGGACTGCTGAGGCCAAAAATGGCCACAGAAGGTTGAACTTACGTAAGAAGGCTATTTTTAAACAAATCAGAAAATATTATCCTCATATTATAATATGACTTTGCCTAGAATAGTGAATGTAATTCTAGTCACATAATCTTAGAGAATTATTTAATCTATACAGTAAAAAATAAAATCAGCAAATGTTATAAAGAAGCCAAGAGAAAATCTTGGCATAAGGAATACAGAGAATGAACTTAGTATAATTCACATCTATATCTTCCAGAACATCATCAAAGCAAAAATAGAGCAAATTACCCATGACAAGAACAAAAAGCCTTCCGCTTGAAGCAGAGAAGGTAAGTTTAGGACAAATGACTATTAAAAGCATTGGATTGGTGGTTTGAAAGCTCTTGGCCTCCTTTTTTCATTTAGAATAAGTGGTATTGACTGGAAAGATTTCTTTTTCTTTTTCTTTTTTTTAACTCAAATCCAAATAAAAGTGTTGATCTACTCCACTGGTAAGAAGTAAATTTATGACACTCATTGTAAAGTAAGATGTAGGGTGAAGGTAAAGATAAATGACAATAGAAGGAATGAAACAAGTACATGCCTCTCTCACCATGCCAAGACGAGTTCCCAAGGGAAACTAGACTACACTTTGAGACTGACATACAGAAAAAAAGTGACCCCCACCCTACACCCCACATCCCACAGTCCAGATCTGCTGATCCTCAGAGAAAAAAGTCTGTGCTCATGCACAGGTCTGACTAGCTGTCATGGAGTAAAGCATTTCCCTAATAACCTTCCCTTATCACTTTCAATAACACTACTTACTTCAAGGCTTGAGTCGGTCTCTCTTCCATCCTAAGACTCCAGTGGAGCCTAGTCAACATAAATCTCATGGAGGCTGCTTATTGAGGAATGAGAAGACCTGGATCCCAGACCTAACCGTGTGACTGTAACTCGTCCTGTCAAATGAAGGGATAGATCTACATATCCTCCACAGTCTCTTCCTGGATTGCACACATGCAATGAGTAATCCCTAATAAATGACAAAGACAAAAATTGCAACAGATCCTCGGTGAGGGTTTTGCAATCCAGGCAGATGTTTATTTGGGGTTGGAAGGATGAGAGTGGCATTCCAGGTGAATGTGGAGCCATTACAATCACAGTAGGACAGCCCAGGGGTGAGAGAAGTTACTAAACCAGGGTGGCAGAGATCCAGGGTGCCATGTGGTCTCCCTTCATGTGAAAACCTGCCTTTCAGTGAGTGGTGGAAAGAGACATCTGGGAAGTAGATGACTGTTGGTTGGCATGGGTTCTGCTACTACCTGTTACTGTCACGTGCATGTGTGTAGAGAAGGCAAGTCACTGTTTGGGGAGTAATTATGAGAGCCTTTGAAGTCCATGAATAAAATATTAACTTTAGAGCCACAGGGCAGAGCGATTAGAAACTATACTGGTTAAACACACACACACACACACACACACACACACACACACACACACACATTCTTTTCTCTTTATTTTAAAAATATTCACAAGGAAATTCATCATAATCCAATGTCTAGATTTGGTGAGAATAAACAATACAGAAAAAAAGAAAAACATTTGTGGTGTGGCTGCATGTACAGGTATGAGGAGAGGGTAACCAAAAGCACCATTAGTCAATGCTAAATTCTCACTTAATTGGCCAGGAAATTAACTAGGGTGTGGCCTTGTGGTCTGGGGGCCATTAGCACCGGGCCAGGGTATATAAAGGGCCCCATGGGGGAGGAAGACATTCACACCTGAGAACACCCAACTCCTCTCACCAGTCCAACTCAGCCCACCCCCAGACACCACCATGACCGGCTCCTGCTGTGGCTCCACCTGCTCCAGCTGTGAGGAAGGATGCTGCCAGCCTTGCTGCTGCCAGCCCTGCTGCTGCCAGCCCTGCTGCTGCCGAGACCCCTGCTGCTGCCGACCCTGCTGCTGTCAGACCACCGTGTGCCGCCCCGTGACCTGCGTGCCCCGCTGCACGCGCCCCATCTGTGAGCCCTGCCGCCGCCCCATCTGCTGTGACCCCTGTGGCCTGCAGGAGGGCTGCTGCCGCCCCATCACCTGCTGCCCCACGTCCTGCACGGCCATTGTGTGCCGCCCCTGCTGCTGGGCCTCCACCTGCTGCCAGCCCATCTGTGTGCAGGCGCCCTGCTGCCGGCCCCCCTGCTGCCAGCCTGCCCCCTGCCGCACCACCTGCAGGACCTGCCCCTCCTGCTGCTGCTGAAATTCCATGATCAATACACAGAAGCCTAAGCACCTATTCTGCATTTTAATCAAATTGAAAGAAAAACAGATTTTTCCATAAAGTGACAATCGTCATTTTTATATCCTACCATTTGGACACATGAGCAGATCTCTATCTCCACTCTCAGCCAAATTCCCAGTGTCTCCATCAGCAGAAGTCACCATGGATGGCAAGCCCACCTTTAAAAGTCCCTGAGTGGACGTGGCAAACCCATCCTGAACTCTGGAGACTGCTCAAAGCCTCCAGGCATCATTTGTAATGTGCTGTTCACTTGTTTTTAATAAACTAATTTTTCCTGCAAACCTCAGGGCTACCTGATTCATTTATTAGTGTACCAGATGAGCAGACGATGAACAGAAAGGGGAGTGAAGAGGAAAAAGGAAGAAGAGACAAACAGGATGAGAAAGACAGGAGAGGGAAAGAGAGAGAGTTTTTAGGAATCCTGGTATGAGTCTTGAGCAGGGGTACAGGACGGCCAGGCCAATCCGCGGGCTGCTCACATGGGTAGGAAATCTATGCACACCAGGCCCTCCATGCCTGTCCTTTGTCCCTGAATCGAGGTTCATGTCTTAACACTCCTCACTAAGTTTCACTAAGCAACACTAAATTTCTCACAGTAACTGACACATGCCATGCTGTTCCATTTGTCTTTGCTTTTATCATGTTCTTTCATTTTTCACCTGCCTCTCCCCTCCACCTTCTTCACTTACCTAACCTAGATCCATTTCCAAGTTCAACTCAGGCTTCTCCTAACCCCTCAACCACACACACACACACACACACACACACACACACACATACACCACACACTAGGTTATGTGCCTTAACATATACTAATAGCATCCTGTGATCCCATACTTATCTCCCTACCCATAAGGCATTGCATTGAGATTATCTACCTCTCTTACTCCAAGAAAAAAAACCCCAAAAAACAGTTTATTCATTCTGGCTCTCAGCACTGAGTTCAATGTTTAGAATAGATTCTCTTTGTTGAATCAAACTAAATGTAGATATGTACTTAAGCATCAGCATAACTTAATTTCCTCCCCACCCCCCTTTCTCAGGTTTCCTCATCTGCAAAACAGGAAAATTAATGTTAATCCATGTAGATTGCTGGGAAAGTCAAAAGACTTTTTGTATGGAAGTGCCTGGCACACAGTAAGCACTAGTACCATCCTATATAATAAAAGCTTAATATATTAAGTGTCTGGTTGACCAGTTGGCTCTTCAACCAATCAAAGAGTAATGTGCTAATTACAATATATGCTAAGGGAACTCAA